ACACACATACACACACACACACACATACACACACACACGCACACACATTATATATAATATATATATATTATATGTGTGTGTGTATATATATATATAGAGAGAGAGGGAGAGAGAGAGAGAGAGAGAGAGAGATGGAGTCTTGCTCTGTTGCCCAGGCTGGAGTGCAGTGGCACGATCTCAGCTCACTGCAACCTCTGCCTCTAAGGTTCAAGCGATTCTCCTGCCTCAGTCTCCCAAGTAACTGGGATTAAAGGCACGTGCCACCATGCCCAGCTAATTTTTGTATTTTTAGTAGAGATGGGGTTTCGCGATATTGGCCAGTCTGGTCTCGAACTCCTGACCTCATGATCCACCAGCCTCAGCCTCCCAAAGTGCCGGGATTACAGGCGTGAGCCACAGTGCCTGGCCTACATATATATATTATTTCCCACCTCTGTTTGATGAGAGGGCCTAGAAGCAGTGACGTCTCAGCAGCAATAAGCACACCCAGTCTCCAAAATAAAAGGATCACACTTCTTGGAGCACTGAGGCAGGAAAAAATACAAGTTAGTTCCAGAGCATGTTGCAGCGCAAGAAAGCAAGGAAATGCTCACAAAACAGAAAGATGGGGGCATGTCAAACAGACACAGGAGGTCAACTGAAAGAGCTCCTAGTAGCCAAAGCTGGAACCATCTGAAAAATAAAATAACAGTCTGGGCCGGGTGGCTCACTCCTGTGATCCCAGCACTTTGGGAGGTAGAGGCGGGAGGATCGCCTGAGGTCTGGAGTTTGAGACCAGCCTGACCAACATGGTGAAATTTCATCTCTACTAAAAATACAAAAATTAGCCAGGAATGGTGGCACACGCCTGTAATCTCAGCTACTAGCGGGGGCTAACGCAGGAGAATCACTTGAACCTGGGAGGCAGAGGTTGCAGTGAGCTGAGATGGCACCACTGCACTCCAGCCTGGGCAACAGAGTGAGACTCCATCTCAAAAAAAAATAAATTAAATTAAATTAAATTAAAATAACAGTATTGGCCAGGCACGGTGGCTCATGCCTATAATCCCAGCACTTTGGGAGGCCAAGGAGGGTGGATCACCTGAGGTCAGGAGTTCAAGACCAGCCTGACCAACATGGTGAAACCCCGTCTCTACTAAAAACACAAAAATTAGCCGGGCATGGTGGCACATGCCTGTTTAAGTCTGAGCTACTTGGGAGCCTGAGGCAGGGGAATTGCTTGAACCCAGAAGGTGGAGATTGCAGTGAGTCAAGATGGCGCCATCGCACTCCAGCCTGTGCAACAGAGCAAGGCCTTGTCTCAAAAAAAAACAAAAAACATAGTACTAGATTATAACCCAAAGTATAAAATAATAAACACACAGGTCGGTGCTGTAGAAATGCAGTCATGTCTGCATAACAGCATTCTACATTGCTGGTCAACAGCAGACCACATAGATGACGGTGGTCCCATAAGGCTGCAACAGAGCTGAAGAATTCCCGTTCTCTGGTGGCCTGTGTCACGGCACAGTAATGTGCCTGCAGTGTTCAGCACAGTAACATTCAGCACAGTTACAAACCTGCAGCCCAGGAGCCACAGGCTATACCACGTAGCTTAAGTGCATAGCAGGCTCCTCCATCTAGGCACGTGGGACTGCACCCGACCATGGTCTCACCATGACCAAATTGCTAACAGCGCATTTCTTTGAATGTCTCCACCGTTAAGCAACGTATGACTGTAAATGACAAGCCAAATAAATGGAAGGAAAAGAACAAATCTTCCTTACAGAAGAATTCCAAATAACCAATGTAGGTACACCCAGTATAGCCCCCACAACTTGAATGTGGGCTCAACTTGCTTTCAAAGAACAGAGTTTGAAAAGGGGGCTCACCTCAACCTCATGGGAAGCTGAGGTGAGTGGATCGTTTGAGCCCAGGAATTCAAGACCAGCCTGGGCAACACAGTGAGACCCCGTCTCACAATAAATAAAAATTAAAAAGTTGGCCAGGTACAGTGGCTCGGTGGCTTATGCCTGAAAACCCAGCACTTCAATTTTTTTTTTCAGACAGCGTCTTGCTGTGTCGCCCAGGCTGACACAGGTGATCTGCCTGCCTCAACCTCCCACAGTGCTGGGATTACACGCATGAGCCACCACGCCTGGGCCAGGCTGAGGAGGGTGAATTGTTTGAGACCAGAAGTTCAAGACCAGCATGGGCAACACAGCAAGACCTCTTCTCTACAAAAAATAAAAATTAAAAAATTGGCTCACACGTGTAATCCCATCACTTTGGAGGCAAGGCAGGCAGATCGCTTTAGCCCAGGAGTTCGAGGTGAGCCTGGGGAACATGGCAAAACCCCAACTCTACAAAAAAAAAAAAAATTTAGCCAGGTGTGTGACGTGTGCCTCTGGTCCCAGCTACTCAAGCTCGGGAGGCTGGGGTGGGAGGATGGCTTGCGGCTGGAAGGAGGAGGTTATAGTGAGCCATGATTGTACCACTGCACACCGATTGTACCACTGCACTAGGCAACTGAGCCAGACCCTGTCTCAAAAAGAAAGCAAGAGAAAGAGAGGGAGAAAATGAGGGAGGAAGGGAAAAAAGAAAGGAAGAAAGAGAAAAAGAAAAGAAAGAAGGAAGGAAGGAAGGAAGGAAGGAAGGAAGGAAGGAAGGAAGGAAAAGAAAGAAAGAAAGAAAAGAAAAGAAAGAAGAAAGAGGAAAAAGAGAACTTCATAAAAGGAAAACCTGGCAGACACCACCTTCACCAAGTCACCAAGGCTAGCATTGCCAGGGATGAGTCACAGGGACATTGTGTGCCTCCTGGCATCACGTGATGAGAAGTGCATTTTATTTACCTCTGTGGTATTCTTCCCCCAAACCCATAACTCCTGGCTAGTCATGAGGAAAACATCAGATATACCCAAATTGAGGGCTAGTCCACAGACTAGAACTTCCCAAATTGTCAAGGTCACGAAAACCAAGGAAACACTGAGAAACTGTCACAGACCGGCGAAGACTAAGACGCGGCAACTGAACGCAGTGTGGGATCCTGGATTGGATCCTGGAACAGAAAAGGACGTTAGTGGGAAAGCTGGTGAAATCCGAATCAAGTCTGGAGTTCAGTTAACAGCAACGTGTTGGTTTCTTACTTTTGACTACTGTATCGTAGTCACAAAAGACGCTAAGAATGGGGGACGTTGTTAAGGGGGTGGATGGAACTTTCTGTACTATTATTGCAATTGTTGTATAAACCTAAAAGTATTCCAAAACAAAAAGCTCATTTTTTAAAATCACATGGGGCATAAATGTCAGAAGCAGAATTCAAATTCCAGGCTGGGCCTGGGCACTGTGGCTCATGCCTGTAATCCCAACACTTTGGGAGGCCGAGGTGGGCGGATCACCGGAGATCAAGAGTTTGAGACCAGCCTGGCTAACATGGTAAAACTCCATCTCTACTAAAAATACAAAAATTAACCAGGTACGGTAGCACGCACCTGTATTACCAGCGACTTGGGAGGCTGAAGCAGGAGGAGCACTTGAGCCTGGGAGGCAGAGGTTGCAGTGAGCCGAGATTGCACTACTGCACTCCAGCTTGGGTGACAGAGCAAGACTCCATCTCAAAATGAAAAAAAATTGACCGGGTGCGGTGGCTCATGCCTATAATCCAGCACTTTGGGATGGCAAGACGGGTGAATCACCTGAGGTCAGGAGTTCAAGACCAACCTGGGGAACATGGTGAAACCCCACCTCTACTAAAAATACAAAAAATTAGCTGGGCGTGGTGGCGCATGCTTGTAATCTCAGCTCTTTGGGAGGCTGAGGCAGGAGAATCACTTAAACCTGGGAGGCAGAGGTTTTGGTGAGCCAAGATCGCACCATTGCACTCCAGCCTAGGCGACAAGAGCAAAATTCCATCTGAAATAAATAAATAAGTAAAATTATTTTTAAAAATTCAAGGCTGGGCATGGTGGTTCATGTCTATAATCCCAGAACTTTGGGAGGCTGAGGCAGGTGGATCACTTGGGGCCGGGAGTTTGAGACCAGCCTGGCCAACATGGTGAAACCCCATCTCTACTAAAAATATAAAAATCAGCTGGGCATGGTGGCAGACACCTGTAATCCCAGATGCTCAGGTGGCTGAGGCACGAGAATCACTTGAACCCGGGAGGCAGAGGATACAGTGAGCCGAGATTGTGCCACTGCACTCCAGCCTGGCTGAAAATGGCCTCCAAAAGATATCTATGCCCTAGTCCTTGGAACCTGTGAATGTTACGTTATATGACCAAAAAGTGGAGAGGGGTTAGAGGGTTTTTGCAGATGTGATTTAAATTAAGGATTATGAGATGGGGAGATCATCTAGGTGGGCCCAAATGCAAGGACTTGTTTGTCAGAGGGAGGCAGAGGGAAATTTGATATAGACACACAGAAAAGGAAATGTGCAAACAAAACAAAAATAAATAAATAAAAGGCCATGTGCCCACGGAGGCAGAGACCAGAGTGACAGGGCTTCAAGTCAAGGAACACTGCAGCCACCAGCAGTGGGAAGAGGCGAGGCGCCATTCTCCCCCAGACCCCCGGGACGGAACAGAGCCCCCAGGTGTGGGCCCAGTGCTGCTCATTTTCAACTCCTGGCCTCCAGAACTCTGAGAGAAGAAAATATTGTTTTCAGTCACTCCGTTTGTGATAATTTTGTTATAGAAGCCACAGGAAACAAATACAAGAACTAATCAAATCTCTTTAAGGAACTTAATCAAATTTCTTTAATGTTTAAGTCTGTTTGTTCGTATCTGACATTTTGTTACTTGCAGGCAAAAGCAGCCTAGCTGATACACAGTCGTCCTCCTGCCCCTGGTCACCGTCTTACAGCTCAGAGGCCAACTCCAGAGAAAGGCAAAGCCCCAGTTTGGAGCCAGCTCCTAGCTCAAGCCAGAGTGCCGACCCCCTTCCTGGTCCTCAACTCTCCTGATGTTTAGCTGGGAAAACAGGACTGCCGGGACGGGGACAGCATCAGATGGATCACAGACTCCAAGCAAAGGCATGAGAGTTTATTTACAGACAAGACACAGCAACCAGCACCCACTCGGGCTCTGGCCAGGGGAGGTGGTAGACAAGACCCCAGATATACATAAATATATATAGGTCCCAGCACCACCAGCACCAGGATGTTCCCCAGCCAGGTCCCTGCCTGGGGAAGGATCAAGAGTCAGGCAGGATTGAGGGCACAGAATGGAGAGGGCCCCAGTCCCTGCCAGGTATCAGTGGTCCCCTGTTACGGTCCCCATGTCGGAGGAAGAAACTGCCCTTGGCCTTGAAGTGTGGACATTGAGGAGCATGAGGACAAAGAGACCCTCTGGAGGCGCCCCCATTCCTGTGTCCAGCCTGTGCCCTCAATGTCAAGGCCACAGAAGCGAAGTGCCAGCAGCAGCAGCTTGGGGAGCAGTGGAGACACTGCAGGCCCCTCCAGGACCATCCAGGAGTTGGGCATGGAGGTGGGGTCCCAGGCCGTGGCTGCCCCTCACACAGGGGCCTCCCCCAGTTTGCTGGTGGCACTCGTGACTCGCTTATTCTCACGGAGGTTTCGGAGGCGGGCACTGAGGCTGCTGATCTCTTCCACGTAGGCCTGGGGCACCCACCCCTTCTCACCATCTGCCAGGCGGACCCCTTCCAACCAACCTAGGGACACACAGGCCAAGAACAACATCATCAAAGGGGCACCAGAGCCAGGACTGGAAGGGAACACCTCAGCCCTGATGCAAGCTTTGTCTGCACCCTTGGGGCCAAAGTGACTTCATCTCAGCATCTCCTAGCTCCAGGAAGGACCCTGTCTCTAGCTGTCTTGTAGATGAACTTCTGACCTGTTTATCCTGATATCCTCTGAAAGGGTATTTCCCACTCTCCCCCATCATTCTCAATCTTATATCTTTACAAGCAGGAAGTTCCTCCTCTTGTCTAACCTGATTCCCACATGCTGTGGCAGATCAACACTTGCATAACCCTTCCCTGTGATGTCTTAGACGTCTAGCTGTCTCCTGCCCACCCAAGCCCCATCAGGGAGACTTTCCCAGGAGACTTCTCACCGTCACTGGTCCAGGTCCTCACTGCCAGGATGTCAGTCTTCTCCAAGGTCAGCTCATCCGGCTGCAGTGCCTTATATGTCCTAACACACTGAACCTGGGGACGATCTGACAGCCCAGGGGAGGGTCAGGGAGTCCGAAGGGCAGGATGGGCAGGGATGGGAGCATGGGTAGGGCAGGGAGAGGTGGCAGGAGGAAGTAAGTGGGTGGGAAGGTGGCCACTGAGGCTATTATTCCTCTGCCACTACCATGCCACAGGCCTATGTTCAAGACAGGGGTGCCCTCTGCCCACCCTGACCTACTCCTCTCCTACCCGAAACACAGGTGCGGATGAATCCAGTCCCTCCCAGCTTCCGTTTCTGCCTCTATACCAGCGGCTCTCCCCTCTTCAGCTCAAGCCAACACCTTGCTTTTTTTTTTTTTTTGAGACCGAGTTTCACTCTTGTTGCCCAGGCTAGAGTACAATGGCCCTATCTCCACTTCCCACCACCTCCGCCTCCCAGGTTCAAGCGATTCTCCTGCCTCAGCCTCCCAAGTAGCTGGGTTTACAGACACTCCCCACCATGCCCGGCTAATTTTGTATTTTTAGTAGAGACGGGGTTTCTCCATGTTGGCCAGGCTGGTCTCTAACTCCGGATCTCAGGTGATCCCCCCGCCTTGCCTTCCCAAAGTGGTAAGATTACAGGCGTGAGCCACGGTGCCCAGCCCAACACCTTGCTTTTGACCTTCAGACCCCAACGTCCAACTGCCCCCAGATACCCCACACAAAACAGTAACGGCCCCGCAATATGCCCCTAACGTCGCTCTGGTGCTCCCTTCAGCCCATCCTTCCCAACTGGGATTCTAGCTGCATCACTCCCCTGTTTAAAGCTCTCCAGGAGTTCCCACTCCTCCTAGAATAACATCCAAACTCCTCTCTAAGTCCCACAAGGCCCTTCATGGTCTGGCGTCGCCCCCTGCTAGCCTCTGCTTCTCCCCTCAACTTTCCCTCCCTACTCACTCAAAAAGCTCCAGCCACACCAGCCTCCCTGCTGTTCCTCACTCTAAGCTCCCTCCTGCCCCAGGGCCTTTGCACTGGCGGTTCCTTCTGCCAGATGCTCTTCCCCAGATCTTTTCATGACAACCTCTCCTCATCCTTCAGGGGTCATATGTTAACTCCCAGGGACCTACCCTGACCACATGGGAGTAGGGAGCTCAGCCCCAGCCTAGGTGGGACTCTTAGCTCAAGCCAGAGCGTCGACCCCCTTCCTGGTCCTCAGCTCTTTCCATTAGACAAGGTGGGCTGGTAGCATCAAAAGGCACAGACTTGGAGGCCAGGCCTGGCTTGAATCCCAGTTCTGTCACTTACTGGCTGTGTGACCTAGGGCAATTTTCTTTACCTTCTGAGTCAAGGTTTTCTCAGATATGAAAAATGAAGCCAGGTGTGGTGGCTCATGCCTGTAATCCAAGCATTTTGGGAGGCCAAGGTGGGCAGATCATGAGGTCAGGAGATCGAGACTATCCTGGCTAACACAGTGAAACCCAATCCCTACTAAAAATACTAAAAATTAGCTGGGCGTAGTGGTATGCACCTGTAGTCCCAGCTACTCGGAAGGCTGAGGCAGGAGTACTGAACCCTGGAGGTGGAGGGTGCAGTGAGCTGAGATCGCGCCACTGCACTCCAGACTGGGCAACAAAAGAGGGGTGGAAGGGGGGGAGGGAGGGGGGGAGGGAGGGAGAGTGGGAGGGAGGGAGGGAGGGAGGGACAGTGAGTCTACCTAGTAGGGTTGCCATGAGGATTAAATTAGAAATAACGCAAATATAAAGCCCCTAGCCCTGGGTCTGGCCTATGGCTCACACCTTTAATCCCAGCACTTTGGGAGGTTGAGGCAGGTGAATCACTTGAGGCCAGGAGTTCGAGATTAGCCATGGTCAACATGGCAAAACCCTGTCTCTACTAAAAATACAAAAATTAGCTGGGTGTGGTGGTGGGCACCTGTAATCTCAGCTACTCAGGAGACTGAGGCAGGAGAATCATTTGAACCCAGGAGGCAGAGGCTGCAGTGAGCTGAGATCACACCACTATACTCCAGCATAGGCGACAGGGCAAGATTCTCTCTGAAAAAAAAAA